CTGGAGAGAGGTAAATGCTATTTGAATTACTCAAGGGTTTTAAGCCCAGATCTCCTATTTCAGCTTTAATCACTGGGATATGAGACACCATGCTGTGGTGGTTGGGATCTTCTCAGCTCCCTGTGCCGGGGCTACTCTGCTTTGTAGGGAAATGGGGCAGTTCTTTGAGAGGTCAGGGATGGAAGAGAGTGTGCAAGCATTGAAAAGTATGATTTGCTGGTCAGACAAGGAGAATGCTTGCCATAAAACACTTAACTGTCTAGGGGCACAGAAACTAGCATCCCAGCCGTGGGAGCCCTGAGTGCTGGGCTGAAGAGTTGGACACAGATTTTCTCTCTGGCTGCAGCAGTGCTCAGTGCCCTGCACAGGCACAGCTGGAGCTGGGGGCTGGAAGAGCCAGATGTGTGCCCTCAGTCAGCCTTCTCCAGGCAGGTGTGGGCTCCCAACCCACCGAGAAGAGAAGCCAACTCAGCTTGGACCCTGCCTGTCAGAGCCTCTTCCAAAGCCTTGCACTTGTCATCCCCCGCGCTGAGGGCCTGGTCCAGCCCCACAGAACTGTGAGCGAGGAGGGCAGAGGAAGCCATGGGTCTGGAGCTGGAGTGCCCTCCCAGAGCAATGCAGCTGCTCTCCCCCGGGACATTTTGTTTTCACTTTATTTGTGTCCCTGGGACCCAGCTGCTTAGCAACTGGATAAAATTGTCACAAAATGCTGGCATTGCCCCCCTCACCAGGGCAGTGGCTGGGCTGTGTCCTTGGCAGGGATTGTCTGCCAGGCGAGGTGGCCACACAACACTCATGAGGGACCCCCCATGCCTGTCCTTGTTTTCCTGGGTGGCCTGTCCCAAAGTGTGAGGGAATTTGGCCCTCATGTATGGCAAACACTGTACTGCAGGTAAGACATGTAGGCAGCTCTATGTGTCCAGAAAATGAAACATGGACACTTTTTGGATCTGTGATAAATGCTTTTTTCCTCTCTGAAGAACCAGGAAAAAAAGCACACTTCAAGTAGTCCAGTGAATTACCTGAAAAGGAAATTATTCACCATTTCTGCTGTATACTTGGGGGAAATTAATACACCATCTTACTTTGGTTCAGGACTTTTTATCTAAAAAAAATTATTAAAAATGGCAATTAAGAGTTATAGCTATATATTCCTTGGGCCAGAAGAAGAACAGGCATGTATCTAATGCCTGCTGCTATCTTTGCTCTGAGTCCTCTGCCTCTGTGGATAATACTCAAAGAGGTATCCAGGCTGCCCAGGAGGCCAAATCCTGTTCAGTGGAGCTCACTTCCTTTGAAGAGTCATGCAAAGGACAAAGGATGAAAACAAGAGATTTTAGCAGAGCAATTTATAACACACTTGCCCTTATAAGTGCCTGACGTGCAGAAGATAGTTGCTGGTAATTGCTGACATCTTGTGTGTTTACCTCAATCAGCAAGAATTTATAATTAATTTTTAAAATGCTGAAGTTCCAGCCTTGCTGGGAACATTGCAAACTGCCCTCAGCACTCTGATGTTCTTCCAAAACACATGCTGCCACAAGTAAAAAAGCACAAAGGCTCACATATTTCAGGGGGGAGGTGGGGGACTTGTGGAGAGATAATGCAGTTCAAATGAAAATTATTTAGATAACTCATCTCTAACCACAAATACTTCATTTTCATGACTGGAACCAACCACAACTGTTATAAATGGGGTGAACTGCCACATCGCTTCTAGCATTTCTCCTACCTGACACCACAGTCTACAAAATATAGAGGATTTGCCAGCAGTGGGATGGCCAGATTTCACTTATTTTCTTTCCCCTCACTCACTCTGCAATGTCTCAGTCAGCCTTCTGCAAGCAGGTCTTGTGCACCACCTGTGCTGACACATGAATATGTAGGCTCCCAAAAGACCTAGGTCCGTAACAAAAACAGAAGAAAACACAAGCAAACAAACCCAAAACACCTACCAAAAAAACCCACAAAAAACCCCAAAAAAAACCTCAAACCAAAACAAAGCTGAACCACTCCTCGGGAGCTTTCTGAAGAAGCATGGGATGCTTCTGCCACCCTCGTGCCTGCAATGTTTACTGATGGTTTCTGTCTCTGTTTGTATGGAGAAAAGACAGAGCACAATCTCACAGTTTTTCAGATTTTTCATTTTTTTAAGGCAGTTTTTTCATGGTAGTTTTCACTATTTATCTCCCTTCTGGCCTCAGCAACAGGCTGGGAAGGAAACTTACTGCAAGGCAGAAAAATGCCATTGCCAAATCATGGTGGTTTGGGTGGTGGAGGTAGTGGAGCTTGGGGCAAACTACAAGTGAATGCCCTCACCAAAGGTTTATGCCTTGAGTTGATGTTCCTTTAAACTCAGAAATGTGCCATGTCTTAGAGCACTGCCCAACATCTTGGGGTGCCGAGGTGGCTGAGAGGACACAGGAGAGACAATCAGCTCCAGGACAGCAGCCAGCCCCTGCTAACTCTAACCTAAGGCTTTAGCAGCAGGTTTAGGGCGAGATTTCCATTTTGTTAGGTAGTGGGAAAGCACGCTCAGATTGCAACCCTGTAGCTAAGTGATTCTTAGCTTTTTCCACTCACATAATTATGAAAAATGACTCTCATGTTCCCCATTAATGTTGCTATTAGCAGACAAGGCAGGGCTTCCCAGCATGAACCATTCTTGCTAACAAGGTCTGCGTGCACCACATTAGGGAGTGGACCACTCCCAGCTTTCCGAGCACTGGAAGGGATTTGCCATAGCTCCTGTAATGGTACAGAGCCAAATACATCTGCATCTCATCTCATGTCAGAGAAGGCAGCAAGATCTAGCTGCAAGGTCCCTGATTAAAAGAAAAGAAGACCAGCAAGCCCAAACTCCTGCTTCTGGGCAAAGTCACCCTCCTGCTCTAACACCAGGCGGGTGCTGAGGACGATTGTCTTCAGGTGGGGCTGTGAAATCAAATGTCACTCTCCCACTCAGTCACTCACAGAAACAGTCTAATAGCACACAAAACCCCCACCTCACCAGGGTTTCCATCTTCATGCTGCAAAAGTTACTGCCAGTTACTCTTCCCTTTTTAAGGTGGGCCTTGCTCCAGTGCAGAAAGGAAAAGGCCTAGCACATAGGACAAGCAATTACTGTTCTTCACCTTGATATTGGCAAGGCTTTCAGCACAGGCATCTGTAATAAACCTACAGCCAAAGTGGTGAGACAGGAACTGTGCTGCAACAGAGTCTGAGTGGCCATGGACCAGCCCAGCTGTACCTACAAGTTCTCTTGTGCTCAGCTCCTTTATGTGCCCTCTGCTGTGGCTGTGGGTGTCGTGCAAGCCCCAAGGCAGGACTGGGACTGGGACTGGGCTCCCTACAGAGCTGGCTGCCCAAGAAAGAGGCTGATTCCTAAAGAACTCTGATGTTACCTCCCAAGTTCCTTGTGGTACAGTCAGCAGGCAACTGCTCCAAGTGGGCAGAAAACTCCTCAGGGATTTTTTCCTTAAATGCATGAATTTTGTTTTTAAAGCCAAGATTTTTGCCTGTACCTCATTGCTCCCACCTTTATTCATAATTTTTGTACAGCAATCCTGATTTCTCAAGACAACACCAGCTCTGTGGAGAGCAACAGAAAGCTATACTGGTAATGCCAGGTATTGAGACATCTCTTTTCTTCTGCATGGCATGTGAACAATGGTATATTACAACAAATTTGTACCCACATCTAAGTTTGTACAGTGAACCAGTTAAGGATCTGTGATTTCGTTTGCTCTTTTTTTTGTTTCAAGTGTGTGGCTGAATGCTCATAGGACAGTCTAGATTTTGATCCAAACTTTCACAAATTTAGACAGCTGTCTCTGGTGCTGTAAAAAAGCAAACAATCAGCACATCTGAAAATCAATACACCTCATGGGGCTGAGTACCTCAGTTAATCAAATACTGCAACCATCAGCTTTTGCTTAGCTTCCAGCTAGCTCCAGAGTATTTTCTGCATAGTTACAAGTTTGTAACTGCTAGAAAAAAGGACAGTTGGTATTTTAAACACCATGATCTGTATGTTTTTTCATTGTTTGAGCTTCACCTTTACTGCAGCTTGATTTTCTTTCCCGAATTGTTCATTAGGTCTAAATCTAGAGAAAACAAAACCCTGTCTGTGTCAGTGATCCCAGACAGTAGGGAATGCAAGGCTAGCCTAGGGCCATCTGTTACACTGTGAGAAAGGTTTTAGGAAACAAAGCCAGCCAGTTGATTCATTATAAAATAGACATAAGTTATGAAGATTATAATGGAAACAAATCCTATGAAGACCTCTTAAGTCCCTGGCTGCTATTACTGTTACTTTATAAGTCAGCACTGGCTACCCACATCATATGAGTAATACTGTGTAAGTCACAGATGCAAAATAGCATCTGCAGAGATCAGGACCTTCCCAATGGGTACATTTAATTAATCTGAAATGATTATAGTTGTTCTTCTGGAGCATGGCTGCTGTGGGACACAATCTCGGAGTGCCTGGAGGAAAATAGCCCCATGCAAGTCCTCACTGTCTCAGAGGTCATGTGTTTCTCTGAAGACGATGACAAACTGTGTGCAACTCTGAAGAGATGGGCCTGAGGGACACTCTCTGGCTACACAGCAAAATGTGAAGCAGATGAACTTTGTTGGTAGTAGAGGAAGGACTAAGAAAATATGAGATGCTATAATTCTTCCTCAAAGCATACCTGTGACGAATGTCAAACCTTAGCTTAACCATCCCTCTAAGGAACCCTGGACCTGGGACCACCACAGTTAAGAAGTGAATTTTCATCCACGCAGTCCCTAGTCTTTCTTTGTCCGCAGTTCACAGGCTGCAATTCATGTGGCTACAATGGGGTACTTGTCATGTAGCCACACATTATGCCCAGAAATAAATTCCAAACTGAACAAGTTTTATGCAACCTTGTATTTTCGAAAGTACCTTACAGTAATCAGTAGCCAAGCAGCAAAAAAGTATTTTAATCACTGTAGCCTGTGCTATGCTGAAACTAAACACAATCCTATTTCATAAAAACCTGTGGTCACTCAGGAACAACAGTTTCAGACTGCTTGAGAGGCATATGTGCCCCATCCAAATGCTCAGTGACAAATCCAGTATCAGGCTTTACCAAAAACACATGATCTGACACTTGAATTCATCCACAGGGCTGGAGAACAGAAAGTGGGGGTAGCATGCATGTTTCTGCAGGAAATCTCCTGGTGAAGTTTGCATGTGAAGGGGACCTCAGCTCTTGGGAAAAAAGTCTTGGCAGCAAAGTTGCAAGAAACTCCTGGCATCCAAATCAGATTTCTTCAGATGTTCATTCCCAGACTGATAAACTAGTATCAGAAAAAGATCAACATTACAATTAAGTATTTCAGGCCCTTCTCCCTCCCCATGTCTTTCCCCAAATGAGAGCCATTCCAAAGCAGTGCTTTGCTCTGAATTGACCCCAGGCAGGGAAAAGGACCTTTGCTCACTTGGCTTTTACACCCTGTTATTAAGGAGAGACCTCAGCCAGCAGGGAGGAATAAGGCTAAGCACTAGATACTGGAAACAGCAGTTACTTTATTTGCATCCCAGCTGTTTTCATTGGTTCCCACATTTCTTTTCCCTGGGAATTCATTGTGCCTCACCACAGGAAGCTTTGGCTTAGTGTGAAATGAGAGATGGGTCACAGAAACAGGGAGACAAGGACAGCACAAGAAAATAAGAAAACTGTGCCGAGGATTGTGAGAAGCAAATGATAGACATGTACAGGCAGGGCTGATCTGAATTCCTGGGGGACTCAGGGGGAGTGAAAGACCGCCCATTCCCCATCTGCTCCTTCCTCTTTCCCCCACTGAAACTGGCACCCAAGGATGGAATAAAAGCAGAGAAACTAGAAAGGGGCAAGGGAAGCTGTCAATATGCCACAGGGCAAGGAAGGAAAGAAATAGCATGGAGGAGATTTAATAAGTTCATGGGCTGCAGTGGGCTGTAAAATTCCAGCTGTGGTGAAACCTATAGTAGATACGGCCCTGCACTCTCATGGACACCTCAAGTGTCATGCAGAAATACTCCAGCTCTTAGAAGAGGACAAAGCTCTAGAGAAACCCCTTCATTTTGTCAGTGTTTATGAATCTGTGCTCATACCTCGCCTATATTCAGGTTAATGAACTCCTTGTTTTTCACACTCAGTGCTTGGAATACTCCTGAAAAGAGAAACGGACAGCAGTGCTATAAATACACCTCATACATATTCATACACAAGCTCTCCCGCCCACAACGAGTGGCCATGCCAAGGAGAGGGCAGGCCTGGTGCAAAGGCAGGTTGCTTAGGATTACTTGGTGGTTGTAGCTCCTATGACAAAGCAAAGTCCTTGCAAGAGGAAATGTCTTGCTGACTTAAGGCCTTTATGCAAGGCTCACTTCAGGACTTGTCTGAAAGAGGTGTCCTGAATCTGCTAAACAGTCAGATTCAGAGTATACTTTGAAATCAAGCCATGCAATTTGCCTTCCTTTTTATATCTTCTTTAACTTCTCTCTCTCAGAAATTTAATAATTCTATTGCTACAGTCAACCCAGAAAGTAAAGAGAATCTTTACTTTTAAAAATCAGTGAAGAAAGTTGATTTTTCTTCTCATAGAGTAAATTGGGTTGTATTTGAATTCGCAGCCACACCAATGATCACTTTATCCAGGCATTTATCCAGCCTTTTAACCTATCTCTACTACTGCTGCTTTGTAATGAGAGTGACCATGTGCCAGAAATGCACTGAGACCTTGGGTGCCTTGATGTACAGGGAACCACATCTGAAGCCAAAAGGGAGCATGTGTAGCAGGTACAGGAGGTATCTGCCCAAGCACATGCCAATTTTCACTTTCCATGAGGCACAAGTAATATTTGAACCTTGAACTTGAGTGATCCCAAATAAAGCTCCTGGGTGAGCCACAAGAAGGGTTACAACATGGACTTTACCAGCATTCTTCACATGCCTTCAACATTGCTGCAAAGTTTATGTAGCAAGCTCTATTCACATGGGGAAATTTTCCATTGGCAGCAGAACATTTTTCACGTTACAGGAGAAAAGCCACCCTAAACCCAAATGCTAAACACAGCTCTTTTCTGTTAGCCTTGTACTCCATCTCAGATATTGTGCAACACGCTCAACAGCTGAAAGCAGAACATTTTCTTTTTTCAAAGGGAATGAAATTACAGAGGAAGAAGATACTCACGACTCGCATTCTCCAGGCGTATTAGGCAGTTCAGAAAATCATCAAATTCAATCTGGAACTGCTCATCAGAGTATCGGAGGACAATCAGTTGCAGCAGGTAATTGTTGAGCTGGTATCCTTCCCAAAGAGACACACAAAGAAAAAGTGAGCAACCTCACAGTCAGGGGGAATCTACAGATCTCTATTATCTAATTTTGAGAGCCACTTAATGGGAGGATACTCCTTGGCACACATCCATCCAGAAAGAGATCTAACCACAAAGTTCCTTAAGTCTGCAATGAATAACAAACTCTGAACAGTAAATTTTTCAGGCACTGCAGTTTCTAGCCCATGCACACTATGATATATGAGAGACCATTCTGTCTTCTTGAATTTGGAGGGATTTCTGCAAAATTATCTGCTTTGGTAAAACTAAGTTGTATGAAATACTAATGCAGTTGTATGAAATCTTCACAGCATTTCTCTTACTCACTATTCCTTCAACCCTTGAACATAGATGGACTCCAAAGTGGTCTGTTTCAAGGCCTAACCCTGCACATGTGCAGCCCTGTTGAGTTTAACAGAGCTCAATAAAACACAGAGATTGCTCTCATTGCCTGCCCTTCAGGACTGGGGGTAACTGGTCCAAAATTCCCCTACTCAATGTGCCCAGGTTCTCTCTGGGGTTTAGACCTCCTCCCTGTTCAGGAGCACCTGGCCTGTGTGATTGTCCTCTTCACCCACACTGATCTGCCCAACAGGTTTACCAGATAAAGTGCAGTGCTTGTCTTACCTGCAGCTTTAAGAGCACCACGAAGCTCATAAGAGGACATGGAGCCAGATTTATCAAAGTCAAATTGAAGAAAGATATTCTGTTATGAAAGAAGCACACAGAAATACTGGCATACGAAAGGGACAGAAAGGAAAGGTGTTTATCTCCAACTTCATAGCATAAGCATTTAAGAAAGCTGACAAGACTTTGGTCTAGATCCAGTCGATTTTATAATGGTGGAGCAAATCTTGGTCCCAATTCTCTTTGTCATATGAACAGGTTGTTGGGACTTAAACAAGTACTGCCAAATCCAAGCATTAAAAAATAATGAGCTGCTCTACATTAAAAATATTGTGATTTTTTTGAAAAGTGATTTTAACTGGAAAGATGTATTGTTCTCTGTGTTTTAACTCTTAACTGACACATTCTCTTAATCTTCTTTTGTGTTTTTCTCTGTTCTGAACACTAGAGACAAATTTTAACATGATATTAATATTGTCACTTACTTATTTGCTTCTAAGTATAAAAGATCTGAACAGCCACATTCATGGTACAACCAAGAGAACTGGTCAAAGAGTTTGAGGTTTGACCTATATATTAAGCAATTTTCAAGCTGGAGTTAAATTCCATCCTTTTATTGAGACAACAAATACGACTCTCCTTTGGAACATGAGTTATTTGAGCTGTCGTCACATTTAGCTTAAAATTTTCCAGCAAATATATGTGCAAATCTTCCTACAAGGATACAAGGATTTCTCAAGCTCCTTGCAAACACAGTGTGTCTTTTGTTCAAAAAGATGTGGCATTAGTACCCAGAAAAAGTGTTGGCCATTTCTGATGGGCTAGACAAGAAGCAAAGAACTGCATAGTTTGAATGCTTTGGTGAGCACAAATTCAGAAAAAACTATTAATGGCCATAAGGAAACAATTATAATGTCTTTTATTTGAATATTCAGTCTGTGATTGATTCTGCAAGCCTGCTTATTCTTACTGCTATATACAGTGGCAGGGAAATGTGTTTAAAATTAGAATCAGCACTTTCCCAGACTTCAGTACAGTTAACTTCTCAGAGACCAGTAATGAAAATGCAGAGACTTAGGAAATTATTGTTTCCTACTAGTCATGAATCATCACTTTCTTCTGTACAACAGCAGCTATGGAAACTCCTTAAGTTTCCTTTTGAATGGCTTGCTTGTGTCCATTGCATTCTTTATCCCAAACATAGTTGATTAGCTTACAAAAATCTCAGTTATTTCCAGAAAACCATTATGGTTTATCATCATGGAAAGCTAAGAATGTCTCTGACTATCCAAAACAAACCCCATGCTTTTAAAACATTTGTTTTGTGTTAAAATTCATGCTTGAACGCACTCCTGTCTCCATTTTGCTTGGCTTATACCTAATAAAGTCTTTGGGAAGTAGCTAATGAAATGGAGGAAAAATTACAGTGGATAATGTCACCTACTATCCATTTCTTCAGTTTTTCCCAGAAAACTTTGAACTCACTGAATTCCAGCTTCCCGTAGCCATTGGTCTGGTAATATGAACTAAGGAAAACAAATGACTTGTTATATGGAAGTCCAAATTCAGTCTGAACTTATAAGAGTAGTTCCCTTAAGCAGAAAATGTTGACTGGAAAGCCTGTGGTGCTGCTGAAACTGGCATTGGAATTTCTCAAAAGGTAGAATTCCAGCAGTTACAGTCATGCCTGTGGCTGTGATATTGGAGGAACATTATGTGATATAAAAGCACAGCTGAGCAATTCAGGCACTACATGAGGAAGAAAGATTATTCTAAGGCAAGAACAGTTTTGGATGTAAATGGGATATAAATGACTCAGAGAATTAAATTACCTGATTAAAACAAATTGCTACTGTACCCAAAGGAGTTAGTCAACCAATGTGCTGTTCAGTACTTTTATCTAGAGATCAGGCTCTGTTGCAATGGCTCAACGAAAAATTCATGGGAGTAGTGGGGTGAGACTGGCAAAATCTGGTCCTTATGGTCTGAAATAAACACTTGTATAGCAGTTCTAGGAGGCAATGATTAGATCTGCCTGGCCTTCCCTCTGCCTGAAGTGAGGGACTCATTTCACTGAGTTACTGATGAACTGAGCACAGTTCATTTCCAGGATGAGGCACCTGCTCCGAAGTGCTAAGTAAGGACTGGTCCCATTCCCCTTCCTTTTTCCATCTTGCCAGGACAAAGCCCTTGCTCAGAAGGACACTGGCTCAGTGAGCATTCACAAAGGTCAAAACATGCCAAGCAGGGTCTAGCTAACACCTGCTGTTGTTTGAGCTGGTGACATTATTGAGGGCACCCACAGGTCCCAAGGACATTCTCATTTTTGCAAAGAGTTTTTTTTACCCAGCCAGGTTCTTCTTCCCAGGGTCATGTAGAACTCCGTCCTTCTCCTCACCACCCCATGGTGACAGTTGCCAGGGAATTCAGTAGCATGTGACACAGAGGAGACTGTGCCAGCATTGACTTGGATTTTAGTTTTTATGGTTTTGCTTCTCCATTGTGCTCCAAATAGCATGTCCAGAGTGGGATGATTGTGTCTGCATTCCTTGTGCTTCCAAAGCAGAGGAAGAGATGTCTCCCCATTTATTCAGAACTATGCTGAGATTTGCTTGGAAGCATTGCAAATCATGGAAACTATTCAGTTGTATCCTAAATAGTAAGCCTAGAACTGCTGCCATGCTCCAGGGTCAAGCACAGGCCCTGACTCTGTGCCAATACCATGTAAGGATGAGATGTGAACATGGACCAGCTCCCTACTGAGGCTTGGTTTTTAAGCAAGGAAATTTAGGACTAGTCCCATTTCTTATTGTATGTGCAGGGTGACTAATCTGTATTGAATTTTAATATTATAAACTAGCTTTAACAGGATAAAATTCTGTTAAAGCTAGTTTATAATTCTGCTTTTGTTTTCTCTAAATGTTTGAATGGATATTACCTCTGTCATGGACTGGAGCAACAAAAGCAAAAGATAAGAACATCTCAGCTGAACAAGCAAGACATAAACCAAACATTAGATACTTGCCTTGGCAGGACTGTTTTGTCTCATGTGTAACAAAACTGTTTATTGGGAAAGCACACTGCAAAAGCAGCTCTACTTGAGGAGAAGCCATACTCAGCAAACTCAGCAGGAACCAGAACTCTGCAAAGGACAAATCTGGTGGGGAAGCACCAGGGCTAGGATTCACCTCACCTGATGTCTGAGCAGTCTTTTAGCATCCCTCAGTTAGGAACATCCAGAACAATTAATTAGCAACCATCCCTTTTGCTATCTACAAAGGAAGTCTAGAAAGCTGGCTTAGATGTAAACACCTACACCACAAATGCCTAAATTTGGACAGACAACTCTCACCCACATGTCTGTTTCCTGGAGTCCCAGGAACTAGCTGAAAGACCAGATTTTCCAGTTTTTAAACTGATTGTTAAAAAAGAGCTTTGATATCAGCAATTTTTGCCACTGCTGATCCTTAATTTCTGACTTATAACTTGCATGTACAACTCTACCTTGTGAATTTAGCCCCCCCAGACAACAGACTTTTCTTGAGTTAAGTTTTCTAGGTCTCGTTCAAATAAACAACAGCTTGAAAAATGCACTGTTCTATTCAGAAGTAGCTTGAGATATACTTCTAAAGGTGGTCAGCATCAAAGTATCTGCCTCTAAGTCAGCAGTGTAAAACAGTTTGCGCTGAAACTCTTAACCCTCCATTTATAAAATGAAAATCAGGATAAAACAGTCACGTATTTTTGTTTTCTTTGGGTAATGATCTCCCATGACATTACCAAATTAATTTCTGACATCCACGACATATAATGTTATGGACAATTATATTCATTGTTCATTTAGCCTCACAGGCACTTATTTGAAAGGATACACCCATAAGAGAAATGATATTTCGGCATGAAATGAGACTTAAGTTCTTGAATTTTATATTCTTTGCTGGAAAAGAACAATAATAAGAAAGAAATCATGGGCAAAGCTGTATTTTATAAGCAGAAAGGAAAAATAGGACTCATGAACAGAGATAGCTGACTCTTAGTCCTCATTGTGGGAGGACTGTGAACTCGAAGATGAAGGCAGCTCTCACCACAGTGAAGTCTCAGTCCAGACAGAAGATGCATTTACTGGAGACATGACAGGAAATACTGTCCTTGATTTGTAAATCAGAGAATGAGGTTCAGGGAGTGACATGTTTCCCACTATACAAAGGGCTTGTAGCAGGGTCATGAGCCACATCCAGGTCTTTAAAGTCCCATTCTAGTGCTTGTCTTTCCACAGCAGAGTGGCAGTGCAATAGAGCTGGCCTCACTGAGCTGACATGGGTCATGCTGGAGGCAGGGCAAGCTCGTGGTTAGATCATGGACCAAATGCTTCCCTGGCTCTGCCCTTGCTGGCTCAAGGATACCAGGTTGGGGTCATAACACAGCCTTGAACTTTCTATATGTAAATTAATTAAGTGGCAGATTTTATAAAATTATATACAACCCTTAACTTAGAAGTTGTCAGCACTTACTTTTTTTTAATACAGCATTCAGAACATATTCAAGCTCTTCTGCAGATATCTTCATGTCCTGCAGAAAAAAAAAAAGAAAAATAAAGTGAAGAATCTGTTACTTGAATGTTTCTGTAACCAGACATACCAAAAACCTTAGAAAAAACAAACATCACTCATCTGTACTTTATTGCAACTCAGCAAAAGAGAACCATACAAAACCCAGAAAAAGCTAAAAAAATTAAGGGCTGGGAAGATACAGGAATGCTGCTGTACATAAGTCTGTCTGAAGGAGATCTCAAGTGGGAGCTGTTGATTCAAAGAAAACTCAACTGCAACTGAACATTAAACCAGACAGGCTCCTTCAGGGCTTGAGTTCTAGCTTTGGTCCTCCTGCTTGCTCACCAGGGACTGCACCCTTATCCATCGAGCCATAAGGCATGGTGACATCTGGTGCCCAAACAACACACTACAACTAAGCATACTCCCAAAATATTTTGGGTTTGTTTCATGCATCCATGGCCCTGTAGTGGAGCAGAAGTGTTTCCTGCCTTTTTACATCTTGCTTTGATCCAAAGTGTTTTGCACTCACCTCTCCTGCAATCTGCTCAAACAGTGCCCGGAATTGCTTTTCTTCTTCAGTTTCTTGTGGGCTTGGGGTTGGATGTAGAGGCTGCAACACCAACCACACAAGTTCTTATAAGAATTGTAAAACATTACATTTCTCCTGCAAATAGCCCCTCTGTGCATCCTGGACAAATGTATATCTTAAAATAAGGGTAATATTCTTCTGAACTCTGCCAGATCTGAGGCCTCCCAGCCACCTCTCTGCCCGAGGGGAGTCTCACCCTCTCATTCCCTTCACCTGGGCAAGTGTACAGTGTGCCATTGCCTTGGTAAAAACCAAGAGCACCCATCCTGGAAAACACCTCTCTCTCCTCTCATCCCCACCCTACACCATTCAATTTCCCTGCGCCTCCAACAACCACAGTGCTGTTGAGCTGTCTCCTGTGGTATCATCCTGGGACCTTCTCGAGAGCAGCAGCCAGAGGTGGCTGCACTTCGGCCACCTCTGTTACACAGCACAGATTTATTTTGCTACAGAACATGGCCCTGAGATTGTGGAAGTGAAGATGGTGTTGTTCGCTGGGTCCCTGGAGAAGAGTTTTACTAAAGAGGGACAAATTAGATCTTGGCTTAGCTTGTTTCCATGGAAAGGCACACCACAATTAATGGCTTATTTGCAGGGATACATTTAAACAGGAGCTGACTCAGACCCAGCTGCAATTAGTGCTCAGCAGGCAGACCAAGACATTCAAAAGCAAAAAGAATTCAATCATTTCAGTAAGCACGTGCATATGTAAGCATTCCCTCTCAAGTCCCGTGGATACTGAGAAGTAAAATAAAGATATTTGTATGCAAAATTAATGTAGGTCTATTGGACATTCTCTTGCTTCCTGTTTTTCACAATAAATAAAATGTTAAAAGATGTGAACAGCCATGTGGCTCCTCAGTGCTAATGGGTGGTGCTTTCACTGGACACATGGTGGCTGACACCCACCTCTCGTGCTGACTGGCACTGACTAGGGGATTCGAGGCATAACAATTATGATTTTGATTGTTACAGCTCTTTTACCATATTCAGCAGAGCTTAGCATTTCAGTGACATGCACAAAGCTGGCAATTGTGTAACATTCCTGTGAAATTAACATGGTTTAGCCAAAGACAGCAAAAGCAATGAGTGCTGGCTTCTGCTGAGCCATTCTCTTGCTACTTTAACTCTGTGGACTTACCTCGGGAAGATCAATGGCAACGTTTTCGTCTAGATCCCTGGGGAAAACAAAACCTAATTTGGTATTTGAAGGTATTCAACATCTGCTTGGGGTGAAAGCTTGCTTATTACCTTTCCCCCAAGTGAATGATAAAACCTCTTTTTTTACTTAAGAGGTTATGTTTAGCTAAAATTCATCAAACAATCAGACTTTTGCACTGTCTGAATTTTGGTATAAGCCCTTAGAACAGACATTAGGCAGGACTCAGGGAGGACACAGCTGTGCATGTCATCTACTAAAGAATTAATCTCATTCTTTATTCATTATTCATTGTGAACACATTATTTCCTCGGTATGCTTTTTTAACATGAAATTGTCTTTTGGATAAACTTTGGGAGGAAACAAACAGGAAATAAACACTGCTGCAGTCACAGAGACCCAGACAGTGCCAGCTAGCAACCCTACCCTGTCAAACTTCCAGCAGATTCATCATGGCACACCCTATTTCTCCATCTCTTCAACTCCTCTCAAAAAGAAGTCAGGTTTAGCAAAAATGGGCAAGTACAAACAAAAAACCCCAAATGATCAAGATGCCATGAAATGATGTCATGCTGGGTCTCTGCTGTAGAGCTGGGTGCCTGGCAGCCACACTCCCCAGCAGCCAACAACCCCATGTGCAGGAGAGCACTGGAGGGCCCCAAGCTTGCTTGCTGACTTACTCAGTGATGGCCTTCTTCTCAGAGAAGATCCTCAGGCAGAAATCTGCCTCCTGGTGTGGCTCAAAGGTGGTTGGAATAAGAATGTAATCACCTGGTGGCAGCTTGAATCGGTGGGATACTTCCCTTAGATTTATGTAGGTTTTGCTCCTGGCCTTGGAGGGGTGGTACCTGAAGAAGTCTTTGCCCAAGTGTCCATCTCTGCCAGGGCTCTAGGAGGGGAAAAACAGGCAGTGCTGCACTGGTCAGGGTGTGCTGAAAGCCATACTCACCCCTTTCCTAATCACAGAGACAAATTCTGCCTGGCACAAGTGTCACCCCAGGCTGTGATCCCGACTGTCATTCCCTCTCCCAGGTACTTACAGTAATTTAGCTCCCACCTCATGGCAAGGACCCACTACCACTGTCCTTTCCCACCCAGAAGGCAGTCTCAGAGTACTCTGGGACGTTGTCTTCCTACTTAAACATTCCCTGCCATTAAACACCACAATTCCAGATAGGGTGTCACAGAGCAGTGACAACAGATTCCCCAACCTCGGCCTCACTTGAGGACAGGCATCTGTGTGTGATGTGCCCCAGGATGCTCAGAAGAAGCAATATTCCCTCTCCCTGAGCCAGGAAGGGCAGTAACAGAATGGCTGAGGGGTCTGTTCTAGGAACCCATGACCCTGGGGGGACTTCTAAATTCTCCTCTGAGAGGACTCCATCCTCCACAGGTCTTGATGCAACTGTTAGCTTACGTACGGAAGGTTATTTTAGGTGCAAGGGCCCCAAAAATGGGGCAGGGGAAAGTTCCAAACACCAACAGTGCAGCTCCTGTGCTGTAGCAGCAAAAGAGTACCTCATAAATAGAGTAGCCAATGGTCAGCATTTCAGCTCCAAGCTTCTTGAGTTTACGGCGACCCTTTTGCATCAGGGCTGCTATGAATGTGCAGCCATCTTGTCCATCGTCCTGCTCAGTCAAATGCAGCTTGATTTGTGGATTTGTCCAGAAAGTCTCTGCCAATGTAGAGAATACCAGAGAGTTTCTTGACTCAGAATAATAAACCACAACTACTACTACAAAAATGTACCCACCAAACCAAAAAAGACAATAAAGCTGAGGTTTCACTCAAACTTAGTTTTTCCATTAATCGTTATACTTTTTTCCACTAACCTTTGCAAAAAATAAGCCAAATCCCAAAGTCCTTCATGGAACTAGGTGTAGGAAAGATTTAGGCCTGGGGCCTTATTAAGTTACTATGGTTCAAATGAAACTGTGAGATGAAATTTTGTTAAAATTACATAGCTACAATGATCCCATAGTGCTGGTGCCATTCTGCACTAACACAGTTCAGACTCATGACACATGAATGTGCTTTTCAGAAGCACATAAACGTGTTGGCTGATCTGGGCTTTTTGTCTCATTTTACACTTGCTGCTGCAGTTTAACTGGCTAATTTGAACCTAGTGCTGCAAATGTCATTAAGAGGTAAATCATATCCAATGAACCAGAGAAGAAAAAAAACCAAAGTCTTTCACCACAAAGTCTCAAGTGGGACCATACGAACATTTATCACTTTGTGCATTGCTGGTTTGTTCATTCGAAAAAGCCAACCACAGAAAGGTCTTATCATTAAAGTACAGCACTCTTAAACCACACAGTGGTTTGTGTTTCTTCATTTGTCCCTTTAGCTGGTTCCTGTCAGCTGAACTGTCCTGCACCCACAGCTCTAGCTACAGAGCTCCTCTCTGAAGAGCTATAGCTGAGGGCAGTAAAGATTTCAGTGCCTGCTTTTCATTTTCAAACTGGTGTTTGCTTACCTAGGAAATTTCTACATCCTCCTGCGGTAGCTCCCCGGACCCAGCTTCCTTGGTGGACGGCCACTTCCCATTTGTGGGCTGTGCTGTCTTCCAGGGCATCTGGAGTCAGGTTGCAAATCTCAACTTTGTCAAAATGCACTTTGAAGTCTTCAAACTTCATCCTGAGCAAAACACATGGTAAGGAACAGGCAGCCATTCATCCTTGTGAAGGACGCCCAGCAGAAGTATGCAAAGATGCAAGTTTATCTGTGGCAGAGACAGATAGGATCCAGCTAGCCCCCACTGTGCCTCGTCCAACACAGCTAATTCCATTTTTCTTTCTCATAACAAATAGATGTCTGTGGTGGTATTAATTTACACTTGTTATGAGCCATTTTACAACTTGGTTTTGGTGTGAAAAGAAACAGCAGGGTTTGCTTTACTGAGCTCTGCCCTTTCTTGTCAGCTATTCCCAGATATTGCTAGCCCTAGGCACTGCTAATTCTCACTCTGATGCTCAGGACACCAAAGCAGGGACAGCATAGCAAAATCTGTCTAAATGGCTTGGTTTCCTGGCCACATGATGCAATTTTGGGCCCTTTGGAACTGTGCTGCAAAGGAGAGGAAAGGGTTGCCCTTTATAGATTAGATTTGACCTCAAGGAGGCAAAACACCTGTTCTGATTTCCCTAGAGCTGTTCTGGGTTTGTACTTATGAAGGGAAAAGAAGATGGACCCTGTGATCTTAGGAGGGAAGGGACTAGGGCTGAGAAGCTGACATCTTAGCCAACCACAAGATGTCCCTTTGCATCTATTTGAAGTACCTCGACAAGACCAATCTGAAATGCATTAGACAAATGCCAAAACATCTTTGGGGTGATTAATGAGGTCAAAATGTCCCCAGCATGTCACCATGAAGATTTTCTTCAGTTCTCACAAGTCCAAAGGACAAAAGGACCTAAGAAGGGATTTTTTCCATTAATTTCACTGGTCACTTGATGCCTACTTGCACACTTTTACCTCCATCACATGGTCAGGCTTTAAGTTCTGCCCTGTATTGAGATACTTGCTGGAGTTACTTGGGTACTGTGTAAAGTCTTTGTCTCCTTTGCACTCACCACATAAGCTACAGCTGTAACCAGGTCAAAAACAGACCAAAAAATCCCACCAAACCCAAAACCCAAACACAAAAGCTTTTTGAAGAAGCTGCAAATGCCCTAATGCATTTGCTATGTCAATAGAAAAAAACTCCAAAGATTTTGTATAAAACGACAGTAACAGAACAGCCACTGGACCTACTTCCTTCCAGTTATCAAAATTTGCGACAAATCATTTTGTGTGATCTCAAATAACTTCTCAGGCCTAAAATTGAACTTTTGTTTAACCTGCAGGCAAAACCTGGAATAGCTCAATTTCATACCTCTCTAGATTTACCTATGTGTAAAAGAACTAAGCATCTGTCCCCAGAAAATGTGACCCAACAAACACATTGTCACAGCATCATTGATATTGGGCGGGGGGAATCACGTGCAAGTCAACCATCTGCTCTGTCTGAGATCATGAATTTGGCATGAAGAACACTTCACACTTCTAAAGCAATTTCCACCATGTTGGTTTCGGGGTTTTTTTAAATTACATAATTTAATTTCATCTCTTCTTCAATTTTTCCACAATTTCACACATATCTTGGTGCTGTTTTCTTTATGCAACTGGCAGTATTGCTGGTAGTATTGTTTCTCAGCACTCATTATCTTCCAGTACACACCCAGAATGAATCTTGAGGGCATTTCATAGCTGATACAGTGCAATACAAGGCTCCCTTTTGTAATCCTGCCTTTGTTCATGGGAAGGATTTGCAGGGTGTTACATTCATGGGAGACACACAGTATTTGAAATACCAGTGCCATTAACTAAACTGATTTTTGAGGACTTTTCTTATTAAAACAGATATAGGCACACACGAAACATAGAAAACAAGTGGAGCATTCTACCTGCCGTCTCTTAGGCAGAAACCGAGAATTTCATAATGCAAAGGCTTCTTCCTTTATTGCTTGTTTTGGCCACTTGCACCTTGATTTCTGATTAGAGTCCCACACTTTAAGAACCCGTGTCTTACCAGAACTCTCCATCATCCCGTGCTGCCTGAGACAGGCGTCTCTGCTCCGATGGGCTGACTGAGCGCCACTCTGCAGAGCTGCAGGAGAACAAACCCAAGCTTTACTACAGGCATGTGGCAATCAATTTTCCCTGGCTCAGAATGACTGGCAGGACATAACAGAAGGCTGTTCTTCTCTCACATGTGTTTTATTTGTGCAGCTTACACAAAACCAGTTGCATTTAAGAGGCTTCCTGATCCCACTGGCACTTATGGTCACAGAGACCCAATCAATGCAGTCAAAAGCAACACCAGGCCAAAAATCCCAAAGCTGCTCCAGAGTGGTGAGTTATTGACATTGGGACTGGTCTCAAGTATTTGTGTTACAGATAATAGGGCTATTGGTAAACCTCAAGGTGTTGGTAAGTAAACACTCTCCTTAAATCTGTATTCCATCTGTAGCACCATGATCTTTTTCACTCTTGTTGCTAATTTAGGACCAGATGTTTGTTTTAAAATTGAGTAATGGGAACTGAATAGGTTCCTTCCCCTGCACAGAGAGATTCAGTGAAGTAACTGGGGCCCCAGATTACATCTTTGCTTCTTTTTCATGCACCCCTTTGACTCCAGCTGTGGCATATCAAAACCAAACAAAAATGTGATAAAGCTTTCCAGGAAACTGGAAGTGCACTACTGTATTTCCAATTTGACATAATAAACTTAGGGAGTAGAAGGCACCTTGTGTTGTGGTTTTTAATTCCAGCAACCACTGCAAAATGTTAATGTAGGCTCCTGTATTGACCTGCAAGCCCCCTTCATCCTTAGTTCCAGAAAGCCTCCCAAGTGCAGAGTCAGAGTTCTGCTTTGCAGAAACAGCCCTTTTGATGAACAGCATAAACTGCCAGATGCCTGTCCTGATCATAACCTCTCCATGTTTTTCAGATTTAGGAACTCATTATTCACATCAATTATCCATGTTTTTCGTCAAGATAAAGGATTTGAGCTGATGTGGACATATTTAATTTACTTGTGAGCCATAATAAGGACAGGGAAATTTGAAGTAGTCCTACAAATGGTTACATGCCTCAGCAATATTAAAGGGCCAGGCAGATTATGTTTCCTCTCCTCTATGTCTATGTGAATTAGAAAAAAACCCTCAATAGAAGAAGTGAAACAAAAATTAAACAATGCATTATGTGCAAAATATACTGAAAAGTGTGTGTTGGAGAAGAATGTAGTATTGATTTTTTACCCTGTATTTTTTTTATTTTGTATTGTTTGCACTTTGTTTTAGTGTTAGTAGTAAAACCTGACTGGTTCTCAGGCTAATGCTGTTGTGGTTTGGGGTCCTTCCACAAGTTGGCATGGAGAGGGTCTCATTTAATGGCCATTTATTTTTATTAAGGTATTACTCCTGATGTGTTTAAGAAAACTCAAACAATAAACAGAGAGATGCAAGCTATTCAGAGGGGGTAATACATTATCAATTTCAGCTTATCTGTAGTAGGACAAAGTATGGATGTTGTGTCACAAGTACTACAGCAACAGGCTTGTAAATATTTAACCAAAAATATCACTCCAAATGTGTAACTTTTACAATTGGGAGTGTATTAATATTAACTTATCTCATTTGTATTCATGCATGATTTCTGCTGATGCTAGGTTTTGGGGGCTAAACAACTTTGACAGTGTCCCTGGATTGCGCTGCTTTGAATATGCTGAGGGGGAGATGCTGTAGGGCAGAAATACTGTTAGGCACATGCAAACTCTTGGTTTAACTTCTCGTGGAGCAGCTGGGGCTGCAGGAAGCCAGCTATGGAGCAGAAGCTGGGACTTGGCCTTTGCAAGGCCAGTGTGTAAGGGATGATGCACTCACTTGTCACTCCAAGGGCCGTTCCACTCCACCTGTCCCCATGGGTTCCTTATCCTTATGAGCTGCACTTGCTGGCCCCTATAGCTCACCTGGGGAAGAAGAAAACACAGCAAATATCAAGTGCCAGGATATAGAGAGCAAGGCTTCTCCAGTGTGCAGAGGCAGGTGTTAACGGCTGAGCAAAAGGTGCAGAGTGCCACCAGAGATGTGGGAGGGAAAATTGGATTGGAATTTGGATAACTTCCCCCATCACCTGAGGCTGAGAGAACACACCCTTATCTTTTCCCCAGGTGTCTCCTTGCCCTCTGCTGCTGGACATACCTCCTCAATGCCAGTCACAGAGTACGCATGGCCTTTCACGAGGCCAAACGGGGTTCGGGCTTCTGACTCAGCAGCACTGCTGGTCTGGAATAGGGGAAGAAAAAGGGGAATTAATCTCTCTCTTCAGAGTGAGATCACAAGTGGTGCCACCTGGTCCCTTCCAAGCACCAGGCTAACCAGTGGCTAACCCATACTACAAACAGGGAACTCGGCTTTCTGCTCAACCATGGTGCAGTGGTCCCCTTTGGGGAAAAAGTATGGAAGATTTTAAACATTTTTTAAAATGAGGTGGTTCCAGGGTGGAATTCCTCCTCTGCAGCTTTGATTGTGTTTCAGTACCATCTACATTTTCTGACTGACATCAGGTGTTCACATGGTCTCATTTCTTGTAAAAAGGCTTTGATGGAAAGTGATGGTGGTGAAGGGTCCCATCAGCCAGCTGAGCATCACACTACCTAGTTCAATAAAATTTTAACTAGTCTTTGCAAGCAAACTTCATCAGGAGGAAAAGTGAAACTCAAACCAGAAAACACTGAACCCCAAAGTTGTAGGCACCAAGAAATTGATTTCTTACTTACATCAATAGAACAGCCCACCATTGAGCATCTTTTCAGGGCTTTTCCTAGGATTTCATAGAAATTGTCAGGAGCCTCCTTAACATCATACGTTTCTCCTATACCCCCAGTGAAATCTTCCATGGCCTCTATTGTACTGCCACCCTTCAGAGACTCGTAGCTGCCATTCAACCTGGAAAACACACACTGACTGTGAGAGCTGCTTTCACGATACCCATGTTTGAGAGCTTTCTCGCACATGTGTAGAACTGCAGCAGTAGCACTGAAATCAAAACAAGTACCCCACAGTGTACCCAAGCAGTAGTATTGGGGTCATTCTGCTTCCCTTTTTAGTTGCATTCTTAATTCATCCATTTCTCCGTACCTTTAAAGACCAAGGGTGTTCTTTCTTTAGTGCCAGTTGTCAGGCTGGCAAGGGCAGCAGCAAATGCTAGAAGCTGCTCACTAGAATTGTGAATACCATATGAACAAACTGTGAACAAGGTATGTACAAGTAGCAAATTATGTACGTGCAGTGGGACTTACTTGGCATAGGCTTTCTCTAGTAAGGCACTCCAAAATTCATTCAGTTCAGCTGAGTGCAGGAAAACCAGCCGGCCCTTGAAGGTGGGCAATCGGTCATCAATCACGACATCCAGCCACTCGTTGTGCTGCCAAAACTGCTCAGAAAGGATGGTGGATGAGTTTGCTGACAGCACAGCATTTCCTGAGAGCAGGATTCTGGTGACACAGCATTTCTAACTGTAAGGCTTGATTAGAAGACATGTAGATAATCTGTTCCTGCTCTGCTCTGCAAGGCTGCTCTCTAGGAAGGGTGGTCTGTCTTACGAAAACACCAAGACAAAATGTGTAGACCTGCACTGTAGCTCCTTGCCTGGATTATGTCAATCACATAGCTACACCAGTGTTCACCACATAATTCAAAACTCCTTTAGGACACACTGTGTGTTACAGACACCAGTTCAACTACTTTAAGGATTTATATCCTAAGTGAGGTGTGTGTGCCCAGGAAAATGTGAAATTATTTCTAAAGCCATGTATCTGTTCACATAACAGGAGTGGCTGTGTTTGTGCCTGTATGAGGCTGACGTAGTCTTCTAGTTTGTTTCTCAAACCATGTACAACACTGTAAACTCAGAAACCCTACTTTTTTCAGTGTCTCCTCTGCAGTACCTGCCAGCCTCATTGCAAAATAGACCATGAAATGTAATGACAGAGATGGGTTCATTCTGTGACAGATGTTCACCTTACCTGGAAGTGAAATATTCCAGCATAATCTGGCCCAAAATTTTGATCCAGTGGCACCACTCGTGCTAGTGTTTTTTCATTCAGTGTGAGAGAAGCTATAGCTGCTAAAAGCCAGCAATCACCTGTGGATTGAGAAGGGGGAAAGAGGAGGAAAAAGGAGCCAGAGGAGATGTCATGACAGTTAGCTGCCACTTCCCCTGAAAACCAAAAGACACCCTGCATTTCTCCAGAGAGGGTGTCTCTGCCTGGCCAGGGCAGACTGAACTTCAGTCTGGAAAGGCTGGTAGACAAAAGACTCCCTTGGGCCCACAGTACCCCGAGTGAAGTTCCTTCCCTGATCCTGAATCCCACTGCACCAAGATGGCCCCTGGCATGGATGGGCAGGAGCTGTCCAAGAAGCAGCTGTGGGCCAGGCTAGCCTGGGCAGGACCTCCAGCTCCACTGCTCCCACCAGGAGGGACAACATCCCCCCCTCTGTGAGGACACTGCTGCTGCTCCTCATGGTGCGTACACACAAAGACACCCACCCAGGGGGAGTCACTCACCAAGATCCCCTTGACAAATGTCAGTTCTGGTGGCTCCTCCAAGGATAAACTTGGGGTCTTTGACAATGTCCTGCAACAGTGACACATAAATCACTTAGAATTTCTAAGGAAAAATAGGAGAATATCACCATCACTCTGAACCAGACTTGCAGCGGTGCTGACGAACCCTGTGTGCCACACAAGCTGTATTATCCTGCAACAGTATTGCCACCACAAAGAACAAGATGGGGAATCCTTGCTAATTAATTACAGTGTAGAGCAATTAAAGAATCAACTATCCCCATTTTTTCATAATTAGTTGGCTGCTAATGAAAGGCTGGCATTCTTTATTCATCTGTAGGCAATTGTTAAAATATCATAGCACAAACTCATCCAGAAGATTGATGTCAGGCTGCAGCCCTGGTTAACAAGGCTTTTTGTTAGCTTGCTTTGCTCCAATGGTTGGAAAAAATAAAATTGGCAATTTACTTTTAACTGAACTAGTAAGCCTTCTATTTACTTGCATGTAATACCTGGAACATACAGTGTCTGATAACCATGAGACAATTTACTTCTCAAAAAAGCAAACAACAAAGCTTCAGTCCTGCTAATTTTTAGGAGGAGTTAACACTACCCACACCGTGTGGTCAGAGGTCAGAGGGAATGGTGCTCATGGTGGCTTTTAGGAGTTAACACTACCCACCCCGTGTGGTCAGAGGTCAGAGGGAATGGTGCTCATGGTGGCATTACAGCAGTTCTCAATCATTCATTAGACACACACATTAATTCAATTGCTAGTACCATGGCTGGATAGAAAAATTATAGTGATGAACCAGTAAATACAGTTCTCAATCATTCATTAGACTGGTTTAATTCAATTGCTAGTACCATGGCTGGATAGAAAAATTATAGTGATGAACCAGTAAATGTGGCAGGAATTCTTCTTCCTTCATTTTCCCATAAACTGTATATTGAATGTAATTGATTGAACTGAATGGAAAAGGGGAGAGGAGAATATCTATTATATTACTGGAGGAATATGCCTGTAGTTAATCAGCCTGCCCTGATACATTATTGCAGACCCTGTGGCACAAAGCAGATCCTTCTGCCTAAGTGGCAAATGAAACAAATTAATGGGGAGGGCGGAGGAAATAGAAGAGCACATTTAATCCCTGCATCTGGCTGATTGAATTGAGTTGCTTTGCGTTCATATCACTGCATTTTCTCAGACCATAGGGCAGAATATTGATGGTTTTGTTCAGCTTCCTGCACTTTTTGTTGAAGCACCCGCTGCTGGAGCCAGGGCACTCCCCTCCGTGAACCAGCACTGCTGCGGAGCTCCCCCTGCAGAGGCAGGATCCGGGAGGAAGCTGGTTTGCATATTTTTTGTTTGCCTTTGCTGGGGAGGAGGTGGTGGCCAGGTTGTGCCTCAGGCACAGGTGCCCCGGGAGGAGGTACCACAGAACACCACATCCCCAGAGCGTGGAGCAAAGGGAAGCAAACAGCAGCTCCTCCTCACCTGGCCCGCCTGCTTGTTAAATACACTCAGTCTCGTTGGGACTGGCCATGAACAATAAAAGCACAGCTCATTGCCTTGAGACATTGGTATAGCAATGGCTGATAAACTAGCTGATGTTCAACAACACACTTTGTTTTAGCTCTCAGGAGAAGTAATTCTCATTGCAACTAATGCATTTAGCTGTTACCAAGAAGCCCTGTATGTTAGCAAGGCACAAGATAAAAAAACGTTCCACTGACATGGGTTTGGTTCATGACTCATTGTTTATTACACATCTCTGTAACTCATACATGGGAAAAAGTTTTCAACCTCCTACATCTAAAGCAATCAAAAATATTTTTAAAAAAATCAATTAAAATGAATTGAAAGGGTGTTGACTGGAGTTGTGACACATTTTCTGCTGAACAAAAAAAACATGCTCTACAGTTTTTGAGTGGATGTTGCAAAAATAATATTAATTTTTAGATGGTATAAAAATGTATCAGGACTTTCAGCATGTTAAAGGACAAAACCCAGCATTCACACACAGCATCCAGTAATTTAAGGATTCACCTGCACAAAGATATTGCCTGGAAGCAGGAACATACAGTCTTCAGAGAGATAAAACATAGTAACCCATGACTGTCCTGATGCTGCATTAAAACTGTGTTTCTTTAAACCCAAAAGAAAACAAATTGCATCCCAGTGCCTGTCTTGCAGTGTAGAGGGGGTGCATAGAGACCTAAAACACAGTGGGAGTGAGATTGTTTGTGATTTCTGTGATTACATTTCTCTGCCTGGTCCCAACCTGTCATACTGGCTGTATGACCGTGGCTGTTCATACTAGGAATATTTCTTTCTTACTTCCTCCTGTAGACCACAGACTCATTTGAAATTGGTAAAACCTGTTTGTCTTTCCTTTTTTGGGTTGGGTTCGGTTCTTTTCATTCTTCAATTTATGTGTCTACCTTTCCCAGACACTGAGCTGTTGAATTACGGAAAGGAAATATAATTAGAAAAGAGTCCTATGTTCTTCAGATTGCTCTAAATTTTTGATAAAGGACAGTTTGAATTTGTAATTAAAAATTATTTAAAAGCATTGCTAAACAAAATCACTAAATGTCTGAATCTTGGAGCACTTCACTTATGTAGAAAGTCAGATATTCATCTGATACAGATCCAGGTAGCTCACTGATTGCAGTGGGAGATTTACAGATTAGTGCTAGTTGAAGGTCTTGCTCATGCTGCTACAAATATGCATATATGCAGATATATGCATGTCAAAGTAGTGAGAAAGCCTTCTCTATTCTCATTACTAAAGATTAAACTCTAACAGATTGTAAATCAGAAGATTTAGATTATTTGTCCCTGCAATTACCCTCATGTACTGTGCCACACTTCAACCAAGCTACTGTAAAATACTGGTGGGAGAGGCAGTAAAAACCAGCCACCATGAAAAGATCATGAAATAGATACCCTGCACAGAGGCCATGCTTTTGTGCTCAGCCTCTCCAGCTGTGGCAACTCACCTGGCACATGCTCCAGGCCAATGTTCCCTTTGCAAAGCAAAATGTGTTAAATTGAAATTGTTACACCAGCTCTATTTTGCTGCTGCTCCTGGTGGATAATAGAGATGAAAACGACTTAGCTTAAATGCTGAGGAGCCAGAGCAGAGCATAACTAATACCCTGTCCTTACACATCCTCTCAGCCTCCCTGAGTTTTATTTCCCGCTGTGCAGCTCACAAAAGTGTGTGGGGGGAATTGGAGTGTAAAGGCAGATGCCATTTGAGGTAACTTACTCATCCTGGTGTAATAAATAGGTGTGATTCGTGCTGATAAAATTGAAACAGTAATCAATATTGATACAGTAATTAATAGTTGGAAATAATAAAACAGTTAAAGGTGTAATGCCAAGAAAGAAAGGGAGAGGAGGGGCTTCCTCCCCCCACTTTCTCCTGCAGATGTTCAGAACAGGAAGAAGCAAGAGATAGCTATTACTAAATTTAGTTGGAAGAGAGGAAAATTTGGTTGGACATCCAGGAAAATGTTAATTATATGAGATTTATTGCTTTGATGCTAGAACATAATATTGGCTTATAGTATATTAGCTTTGGCTTACATTATACCAGCTTGGTGAGCATGTGTAATCCAAAAGGTGAACTAAGGGACACCGAGGAAGAGGAGAGGCCTTCCTCAGAGATGACCCCCCAAGAGTGGTGTGACCACCTAAAAAATGGTGGAGCATGCATGGTAAAGGTGATGATGAGGATGGAGATACAAAGTGTGATAAATTGAAAATGGGAGGAGATGACATACAGCATAAAAAGGGGAATTTTGGGCTTGGCAGTTTGTATGTGAGGTAACTGGGTCAAGCCCTGCCCTCCATACCCCGCGTGGTTATTTTTGCTTATGCACGATTATCAGAACCAAAATTATCCCTTATTTTAACCAAATTATATTGTCAATATTTTGAGTGTATTTAATTTTAGATATTTTCAGCTACTTAATTAAAATTGCTGCTACATTTAATTTTGTTTGTTTGTTTTTATGATGGGATAATTGGGCAAATATAACACTGGAAATGTTTCCAGTTCAGCATAAAAAGATCCTGAAGAAAACAGATCATTCTCCACCGCCCCTGTGTACCATACACAAGGGCACACAAGCTCTCAACCAGTCCTGGTCACATTTTACACCAAAATTTAAATATTCCAAGCCCAAAAAAGACAAACTAGCTCTTTAAGATTTAGTGTCACAGCCATGTGCATTTTTGGTGCCTCTCAGCACTCTAGAGTGATCATACCCAAAGCATCTGAGCCTCACAGCCTCTCCTGTGCTGGGAGGGCAGCCCCACAGGCCACCTGGCTTTCTGGAGCACAGACAGGCAGCAGTGACTGTGGGGGCTGCACTTAGCATGTGCTGGGATCTCCAGTTTCTTTTCACAACTGAAACTTGTCCAGGAGTAACAGCTTTAATTCTGCTCTGTATCAGTACTATGTTAACTACCAGATGCTGAGGCACTGAATGCTTATCACTGGGATTTAAGATAATTCAAACCCTTCTTTAAGCTTACTTGGTTTTTCTCTCCCTTGGTATCACTATCACCAACAAAAAGTTTTTTATAAAGGAAGAAGCTTCCAGACTATGAAGAAAACCCAGGATAAACATCAGTCCTTAGCAAAGAAATGAAAGGTTGCCACATTTTTTTCTGTGGTAAGTAGTTCCAGAGTGAAGCGGGAAGAAGGAACCTGGAGTGATGCTGGGTTTGTGATCTGAGAGCATGTGACTGGTGCAGCTTCGGGCTCCCCGTGTGTTATTAATGACTGTTATGCAAGATGCATTAAGAGATACTCACTGAGCCCTTGGCTACTGCTGAATGGCTCAGTAACCACAGCATGCAACTGTAAGCTCTCGGTGTTCCCTGATGGAAGTGAGCAGGTAAGTGTAAGACTAGTACTCTAAAAGTTAAAAGGTCTGAATTTTTGAAGTTGATCTTAATTATGAATTTCCTAATTAACAACCCTCAATTTTACACAGTTAGAACATTATCATAATGCTTTTTACCTTTAATTCTTTGTGTGCCCTCTTATTTTCATCTTTTGTCTGGCAATAACATAAGAGAGAAGCTGATTATGAGTTCTTTATGCCTGCACATAAATACATGTGCATAAGTGTGTCTGCACAACGAGCTACGCCTGAAACATGGGGTGAAGCCTTCCAGCCCTTTCATCCTGCAGCTTGAGCTCTTTGCGGGGAGCATCCCAGTCCGGAGCCACTATTGCTGAGGTGGGAAGGGTTTCCCCGCACACTTCATCTCCCTGAACGTGTACTTGGTGCAACCCGCAAGCACATCTGCCGGACTTTGGGCAGGACGGGAGGCACGAACACAACGGCGTACTCACCCCAGGCCGCTTCCAGACGAAGGGAATGGGTGGGTTCTCACTGAAGAAGAGAGACGAATTGCAGGCGGGGAAGTCGGGGTCCTCAAAGAGGACGCCGGTGCGCAGGCACTCCTGCCTCAGCTGCTCGTAGCCCTTCCCCGAGCTGTGCGTGCCGCGGGCAGCCCCGGGATGCGCAGCCGGCCGCGGCTTCGAGCCCTGGAGCAGGCACGGCATGTCTGCCGCCACCGGCCCGGAGAGCCGGCGAGGCAAGGCTTGGCTGGTGGTGGGGACAGAACGGGTGGGGAAGGAGAAGGGAGCAAGGATACGGAGTGCCTCACGTGCCTTGTGAAGGACAAGGGGGTGCAAAGGACTCGGTGGTGGGGGAGCCGGCAGTGTGCTCCAGCCTTCCTCCGTGTCACCTCCCTGAGCTGCTGCTGAGTGAGTCTGACCTCCCGGCTGCTCTGCGCAGCACCCGAGAAGAACACCCTGAAAGCAAACAGGGAGGGAAGGCGGCCGGTCCCGGCCAGCCTGGGAGCGGCCCAGGGCTGTCCTGTCGTTCCCCGCGGCGGCGGGCCTGCAGGGCTGCGCGCCGCTCCCCGCCCGGCCCGGCCCGGCCTGGCTTCCAGCTATGGGCCACGGAGCTGAGCCTTGGCAAGGAAACCAGAGCCCACGGCGGCTGCGGCCCCTCTGCGAGCTTGCCTGCTCTCCCAGATGGGAGAGCAGCCTGGCCGGCCTGCGGCAGGGCTGCCTTGGCGGGCAGGGGTTGTCCCGGTTGGACATCGTGCAGGAGGGACAGCAGGGCCGAGAGATGCCGTGGCCATGGCCGCTCTGCTGGCCGGGGCCTGGTGTGCACACGAGGGGTGTGCAAAGCTAGTGGGGAGGACTTGGAGCAGAATACATCCTGGGCAAACACAGAAAGAGCATTAGAAAATGTTATCCTGGGGATGGCTTCTGATGGGTCACACACTGAAGGAGTTCTGCGTGCACTGTGTCACGTGTTTTTAAAAACATATTCCTATTGTCACTGATTTCCAGGATTCATGACCTTCTTTGTCGGACCACTGGGAAGGGTTTGGAGTACAAGTGTTACGAGGAGCAGCTGAGGCAGCTGGGCTTGCTTAGCCTGGACAAGAGGAAGCTGGGGGTGGGGTGTGTGTTACTGCTCTCTACAAACACCTGAAAGGAGGGTGTAGCCAGGTGAGGAGCTGGGCTCCTCTCCCAGTTAACAAGCAGTAGAGCAAAAGGAAATGGCCTCAAGCTGCACCAGGGGTGGTTCATATTATATAATTTTTACTGAGTAAAAATTCCTTCATGGAAAGTGTTGTCAAGCATTGGAACAGGCTGCCCATGGAAGTGGTGGTGTCACCATCCTCTGGGATATTTAAAAGATGTGCAGATGTGTGCTCAGGGATGTTATTTAGTGATGGACTTGGCAGTGCTTGGTTGGTGGTTGGACTCAATGATCTTATTTCAAACCTAAATGATTCTGTGATTTTTCTGCTTACCAGCATTCACCTGCACCATTGTATCTTACATTGGGCAGTAAAACACTGGCTGAAGAGAATGCCAGACAATGCACCATGGATGCACTGAAGGAATAACACTTAGAGCCAGACATGGCTATTCTTCTCTGCTTGGAAAGGGAGGAGATGCCATCCTCTTGGAACAAATTACAGTTCCTGTAGTATAAAACACACTCCTGAGTACAAACAGCACTCAGCCTCCCTTTGCTTTAATTGGCCCTTTGGTGGACCAGTTTAGCCTGCTGCCAAGAGATGATTTATGGAGAGCAATTAGGCGAAACAGAATTAGTTCCTCTCTGTTCTGCTGTTTTTCACAGCAGTGCAGGGAGGAAAGCTTTCTTTTTCAGAGCATATATTCCCATGTTTATTCCCCATAATTGCATCTATTGTTGATGTCTGCAGGCTCCCTGCTGAGACCAAGTTCCCATTGTGCAGATATATGGATACTGTCCAAATTTGTGAGAAGAGGCAGGCCTGGTGCTCCAAACGTGACTGTCATTTGACCAAACTTTAGGTTTGCAGAATGGAGTCCAGGTTACTCTTGTCAGCTTTTTCCACAGCCATTGAGAAGACCAAAACCTCCAGAAGGTGACTCACTGTGTACTCATCCTTAAGATGACTGTGTCCTTCCTTTGCCTCCAGACAGACCCTCATGGCCTACCTTAGGGCAGATGCCCAGATTACACCCATGGAGTCAAGTGAGAGGAATACCAGACAAGGGGTTAAGGCAGGTAAAAGGCATTTTAGTGCCAACACAAGCCCAGGGATGTGAAATACCCAAAATCTCATATTCAACCATCAGCAAAACCAGGAACTTTATCCACAACACCTCCGTGTAGGCCAAGGCACATTCTCACACACCAGACTAACGTGTTGACTGTGGAAGGAGACCTTCAGTGCCCTAGACATACAGACTGCACACCTCCTGTGTCCCAAGGAAAGTGACCATGTATCACTTCAGGAAATTTCTTCTTTTCAGAGTTCAGTTGCAGATGAAAATGTGTGGGCTGAGCTCTAGGGGTGCTTGTCCTGTTGGAGGGAAATGGATGCAGATTGTCTCCTGGGTGAACATTCTGGTGTGCAATAAGAAATTTTTTCATGCTGTAGTCTTTCTCCCAGAGAGCAGGGACAGCCTTTCCGTCTCCTCACCCTGCTGCTTCATGTCGTGGCACTGCAGGAAAATTCATGTCTCTGAGATTTCAGCCTTGGTGTCAAGGCACTGAAAGTGCACAGGAGAGATGGTGTTGGGGGAGTGCGGGTGGAAAAAAGAGGAACTAGCAGAAAACACTTCTAAAATGTCTCAAGTTTATGAAAATACAATACCTTGCCTGACATAGGTTAAGAATCACGGGCTCATCTCTTGAAGGGAAGAAACACACAAATCTATGTATCACCTACATGCGTACCCCACTCCAGAGTTTTACAAGAACTGAGCAGTTTTCTCTTTTACCCTTTGAAAGCAGTGAAAGAGCATTTTCCCCCATCTAAGGTTGTTATTCCTGCCACTTGATGCTCTCTACAGATATTCAGGGTGGGAAGAAAATGCAACATGTCCTGTGACAGTCTCTTATGGACAGACACCAGCAACACAGTCCTACTTGCTCAGGAGAGTGGCAAGCAGGATTTGAGCCACTGACCTAGAACACCTTTGCTCCTTGGGTGTCCTGGCTCAGTGAGTAAACGCAGGCTGCATTTTGACACTCCCTGGAACATCAGGTGAGCACAGACGATGAGAGGCTGTGACACCAGCCTGTGTACATTTCCATTTGGCACGCTGTCGTAGCAGACATAATGTGACATTTAAGCAATACAAGACAGTACTAATACGAAAGTCTTGTCACACTGAGTAATAAAGTCCTTCCTCCAGGATTCCGCTGCCTCAGGAACTGTGGGTCGGCAGCCCACCGGGCTCTCCCAGCAAGGGGGACAGAGCAGGTCTGTCCTTGGGCTGTGCAGGCAGTGAGTGAGTGCCTGGCAGCATGTGAAAGTGCTGCTGGCAGAGAGGGAGCTGTCAGATCAAATGCAATTAATTCCTAGTGGGACTGCTCTGGACACCATTAGGCTCCTGCAGACTGCAGAGATCTCTCTACAAGCCACATGACCAGGCAAGATTTCAAGGTGACAGCATGCCAGCATCAGTGATGCACAGGCTGGCAACAAATGTTAAAGCTGAACACCATTTTCTTCCAGGTACCATCATTAAATGCCTGTCCCAGTACCTTCAGCCATGGGAGCAAAGCACTCAGGGAGTGTGAACACCAGTGCAATTGCAGCTGCCCACAGGCACTGCCCTCCTGCTGAGACACACTGCTCATCCCATGACACCAAGAGAGGGGGCCAGATGGGCATTGTGCAGAAGAAGCAGTGGCTCTGGCACAGGGTCAGAATCCTCTGCCAAGAGCAGAGGCTCAGGCACACTTGCTGCTAACAGGAACAGAGTAATTTTTTTTTTCTAGAGCAATTTTTAACTCTAGAAGGGACCCTGATTCACTTTCCAGCATAATTAATGGGATAAAAGGTGACACAAAGGCTTGATGTAGGAAACTATGGTTTCCATTTCTTGGCCTCCTTGCTTAGCATCATGCTACAGCTCTGGATTTCATCCTCTGCTGTCCAACATTTGGCATGTGCTTTTTCTGAGTCACACTTATGTAATTCCTTCCCCATTAACATCAGGTAGACTCTGGTCATTCAGGGTATAAAGTTTGTTATTCAAATAACAGCAGCTTGACTAAGTCCTTCATAACCCTGTTGTCATTACACCTCCTGCCCTGTCAACAGTTTGACATTGGAGGGTTTATCCACAGCTTTTGGCCTGACTGACTCCATGTTCTCCAGTGCTTGTTGCCTGCTGGCTAAGCCTCTTCAGTGTCTTCTGACCTTCTCTAAGGGACTGGTTTAGGCTAGAAAATTTCATTTATGTACTCTTTCTCCAGGTGTTTGGGAGACATGACTGGTTTTGCCTAGGTCTCTTTATCGTTTTCCTTATATTTGCAGAGATTTAAGGGGAGATATATGGACTGAGGTACCACCTGTGAAACTCAGCAGCTCTCTGTCATTTCTCCTCCAGATCTGTATGAAGTTGCATAAAACAGCTTTGTCCTGTCTCAGAGATTAGTCTCATTTTGTACTGCTTGGCACCCTCTGATCCTGGCCTTGATTTGAATCCAAATGCCACAGTCACAGTCACATGAAACCATGCTGTTTCTGATACTTTCCATTACTTTGGCTCAGTGTAGTGCATGGACTTTTGCCCAGTGGCTTACAGCCTGGCAGGCTTCGCACATGCCCTGCACACATCTTTGCTAACTGGGGACATCTTCTATTGCTCCAACAACAGCAGAGACCAGATAAAATTAAGCCCAGCTTGGGGCTCTTTTTTTAAGGAATTTTGTGTTGTCTTCTGGCAGTAGAGTAATACTTTCTCTGAAGAAGACATAATCAGAAGACATACAGAGGGGCTGGAGTATTTTCCTCTCCCTCATTTCCCAGCAGAAGTGAAGCAGAGGGAAGGAAGGTGAGAAAGGACAGCTTTACGGGTTCTGCAAGAAACCTGAGGACTGGACAGCCCTACAAAATATTGTCACTAGCCTAGTGAAACAGGCTAGAGACCAATGATAAAAAGAATACAGAAAATCAAAGGGATGGCTTTAAGAAGTGCCCTTTAAAATTAAGGATAAAAAAACCCAAACCTTGGAGGAATTGTAGGATATAAAAATCTCATTCAAGAGAGGATCCTAAAATAACA